TGTTTAAAGGGTAAAAATGTATCTCGCGAACTAAGTGATTAATAAGATGTGGGTCAGCTGACCAGCATGTGCTGATACTGAATGATTCTATGACAATTCCGAGCAATTTTGGCCCCATCTCATTATGTCACCTGGCATTTTGTAGAAACTTATCTGATACCCCGCGTTTTTGAATCACGCATATTTTATATTATGATTTTACCAACTAGGAAAATAAAATAAAAAAAATCAATAGCTACAGATCCTAAATCCACGGCGCAACTACCAAAGGGATTTATTATTTTTTAAATCTTGCAATTCTCCTTCCTTTGCTACCGAAAGAAGAAAGATGGTATCGGTCAATAATTAAATTTTATTAGCAGAATCGAGGTATCTCCTTGAAGAGTCAAAGCAGTAACCACGAGTACTTGCAAAAGTGTTACTTGTCGCCAACTACGTGTTGACGTGTTATTACAGGTGTACTTGGTCATTGATAATGCAATTTGATGTGATATTAAACCATGATAAAATCGCTGAATGCGACATGCTGAGACTGCGAGGAGATCGCGTTTTTGGTAGTCCATTAGCTAATAAGAACGCGGATAATCCGTGCCATTTCAAAAATCAATTTTCATTAGGGGTGTCAAAAAAGTCCGAACCAACTCGATCCAGCCCGGATCGGCTCGACTCAACCTGAAATTTTAGGATATTTTGAGGTCAGATTTTGGTCTTCTTTGGATAAGATTTTTAGGTGTCGATATTTGTTAGGGCAGGCCGAGCAAGGCTAGGCTTTTTTGACCCTGGCACCAAATACAACTCATCCATAACAGCCTCTCCCTCTCTCTCTCTCCCCTTCGCTCTCTTCTCTCTCTGCGCAAGAGCTTGAGTTCAAGTTCGTGGCAATGGCAGCCGTGAAGTTCGCGAACATGGCCGTGGTGGCCTTCGTTCTCGCCCTCACGGCACTCGCCGTGACCACCCAGGTCGAGGTCCTGGCGTCGAGCCCCACCTCCCTAGCGAGCTCCGTTTCCCCGTCGATCCTCTTCGCCGGAGCAACGGCTGTCGCGGCTCTCGTCTTCAGTTCCAAGCAGAGCCTTAACATTCTCCGCCTACATCACACAAACGAAAGCGTGTAAATTACACAAATTAAAGAAGAGAGGAGGAGGAGGACAACGCGGGTCGACTCCAGAATTAGGGTTTAGAACAGGGGTGGGGGAGTACGGATTCGTGAGGATCAATTTCCAAGGAGATGATCTGCTCATCGGCGGTCATTACGGTGATCTTCATCCTTGGGTCTTCTCGCTTCCTGCTGCAACTGCTTCGTCTTTGTCTTCTTTGGATTGAGGGATGAATCTGGTTTGACTTCGTGCTGCTGATTCCAACAATCTTTGCTTAGCTGTCTGGCCTTCCGCTTCTGGGTTTCGATCTCGGATTGATGGATTGGGTCGGGCGTGAACGCCAACAGAATCGAAGGAGCTCGGAAATGGAAAAGATTGGTCCCTGTAAAAAAAAAAAAAACCTAAACACAACCCGACCCGACCCGATTCTTGGAGTATATGCTAAACAGGGTCTTGGGTCGGGTCAAGCGTGACCCTGTATATTTCGAGTTGGGTCGGATATCATGAAAGCCCAACCCGACCTGACCCATTGACGCCCTGATTTTCATATCTCGATCTTCTTCTTTACAGCTAGATCATCGTAATAAATGCGAATCATACTATTTTCATCTATACCCTTGCGGGACTTGAGATGTTTCCCGTATCTTGCTATGTTGTCGATACAATTCTTGACACATTAATCTCGACATGCCACGTGTTATGAATATGATTTTATCAATGTGAATTTTACGGAGTAAAGTGAAGCACCACTTACCCTTTTTGAGATAGGAGGACGTACATTGTCATGGGTGTTTCTATCACCCCACGGACATAAAACCTTATGAGTATGTTATGATAGTATTCTTCTTAATGCATGAGTATTTCCTTTTAATACATTGGGTTAGCAACTAATTCTAATCGAGTCGAACAATGAACACCATATCATAAAGCTACGCCGGGAGTGGCACCGCATCGGAGATCTTATTACGCACCTTTTGAACCATCGAAACTATCATATTTCGCGTGCCTAACTTAACGAGACCCACAAGATTAAATGATTCAGATTCGCAAAATTATGCGGATGTAGAAGGCGCATTCAAATATTTTCCTACTATCTAGGCATTATTCCAAGTTTTTAATAGACCCAAGGTGCATGTGGAATTTCATTTTGCAAAGATATTCTGAATGAGTTTCATGGACTGACTTGAGCTTGAAAACGTAAAATTTCCTTCAAAAAACAACCCTGAAAGTAAAATTTCATTCATAGACTTTATAATGAAAGTCTAGTCATTGTTTTTATCCGCTAGTTGAACGAGGCACGTACTGGTGGTAGGACGGCTCTTTGTTTTTTTTGCCGGCCGTCCTTGGACTTTGGAGGTCTTACTGCCTTAGGGTGCATAACACAGAACTGCTCTGTAGTAATGCCTAGAACAAATTATGGCAAGATTATAGAACCCTTGATCCTTTCTATGTTGATTAGAACCCTCGATCCTTGCCCATGAACAAATCTGTTTATGTTTAGTTGCATAAACCGGTTATTTTTGGGCCTTTGGCCTCTCTTCCGGTGGTCTAACCCAGAGTGGTTTTCACGTGGTTGGAGGAATCGGAATGCTTGATCTCTGGTCCTCGAGTTGAAATTTATCTGACATCCCAATCAACTGCACAGAGTCTTAACGTTTAATATATCTACAAAATCAAATTGAAAGTTATGAATGCCAATTTCGTCTTGTGACTTTTTGAGTAAGGGAAGGATCAAATTGTATCTGCTTCCCTATGTCCTTACGATATTGAATGTGAAATCATTTATCAATCTGTATCCAAAAGAACTGAAATTCAACGATTGACATAATGGTAATAAGAGATGGGCACACGGTACGAGGAAAATACCGACTAAGTTCGTGTCGGTATCACTCCCGAGCGGTCATAGTGCTCTCGTTACGATTTCATTTTTACAGCAAGAAGAGTTTCGGATTAATCTGATCATCTCTTACTCCGGTTTTTTAATAAAGATGCTAAGTACATGAAAATTAGCTTATAACATCGATGTATCGGGTATCGTGGTAATTTCTTACCATACCTCCCATAAGACACTTGATATAGTAATTTTCATAAATCATTATAGTGATTTTTTTCGGGCAGCGCTATTTGTACTCCCTATATGATTAAATCCACCACGTTTACACTAAAAAGACCAAATAGCCCTCAATCACTCAATTGCAAATTGATTGGCCCATTCCTTCTTCTTCTTTTTTCTATTTAGGATTTACTTGCAATAATTAAGTATTTCGCGTGTTTTGCTTTTAGTTTATTAAAGAATTTTTTTAGTGTATTCCTAGATATTCATATAATGTTTTACATGCTTCATGTAAAAGTATCTTGCTAATAGTAAGGAAAAAAGACAAATTATTTGATATAGTAAAAAACTTAAAAGTCTCTTTTTCATCTTCCTTTTATAATAACTTATCTATTCTTTGTTTCTCTTATCTTTTTTTTTGGTCGAATAGTCCCTCTTATCTCAAAATCTCGCTTTCTTGATGAATTTATTATTTTTAAATTCATTAGTCTATAGTATATATGAGGTCTCTTTACTTTCAACCCAAAAAGAAAAGGTCACTAAGAATTTAGCTTTTTTTCCAGTGGGATATTTTTACACAAAGCATGTAAGACATTATAGAAATGTCTAGGAATACACTAAAAATATTATGCACGCTAAGACATCTTGATATCTTTTCATAAAGATGATATTAATTTTTGTCAATCCAAAATAATGAGATTTTACGGCCATTTTTAAAAAAAAAAATTCTTTTCCTATGCAATGATTTGATTAAATTTCATCTCCAAAGTTTCACGTTAGAGAATGTAATTGTGATTTTATTTTGGAAAATCTTCAAAGAGAATTCTTTTTTCTTCATATGATCATCCCATTATGATGGTGATACGCACTATAAAAAGTGAAAATTTATTAAAAAATGATTATGTTAAAACATTGTCTATTTTAAATTATTTCCAGATTCTACTCGATAACTTATCCATAAATTTGATATCTAGGTTTCTTGGAAATTTCTATTTTTGACAAACCTAATTTTTATGGAAGTACAATCTAACAATTAAAAAAATACAGTGCCTTTAAATATACATGGGAATTTTTTTCTTTTTGGTAACTAAATCTTACATAGAAACAGAAAAAAACTAAAAAAAGGAAAGTAAATAAATTTTGGGCCATCACTTTAAATCGTAACTGAAAGATTGAGGGAAATTTTATTTTATTTTTGGTAAAAATCGAGTGGATTTAGTCATATAAAAGATGGAAATAGCGCCGCCCTTTCTCTCTTCGACAAAACTAAATTTTATGGAAGTAAAATCTAAGAATCATCAAAATACAGCGCCTTTTAACATACACGGGAATTTCGTCCTTTTTGGTAACTAAATCCTACATAGAAACGGAATTTTTTTTTTATTAAAAAAAAGAGAACGAGAGTAAATAAATCCAGGGCCACCATTTTAAATTGCAATCGAACCAACCAGTGCAATTTTCATCCGGGTGAATTTAATCGTACAAGGGGGGGGGGGGGGGGACCCCCTTTTTTTACGCGGATATCTTTCTTTTCTTTTTCTTTTTTTCTTTTTTTTTTTTGGCTTTTGACAGTGACCTTTGCGAGGGTTTCGGGTTTCAGGTCACAGCCACACGCGGTCTACGCGCTGTGGCCCGATCGACCTCACCGCGCGGCGAACGCTCTCTCTCCGCGGTGTGACCTATATGGCCCCGTCCCGTCCCGTCCCGTCCCGTCCGTTTCTCTGCAACTAACCGTACGCTCCAATGTCCCACTCTGTCTCTCTCTCTCTCTCTCTCTCTAAATCTCTTATATAAACCGTCTGTTCCTCTCCTGCAACTAACTCCCCTCTACGATATCCTCATCACCCTCTCCCACTCTCCATGTCTATCTTCCACCTGCAGCTTTAATCCCTAACCTTCGTTTCGCCACGTCCATGGCCAACCACCGCGCCCCCCTCCTCCTCCTCGTCGTCGTCGTCCTCCTCCTGTCGGTCGGCGGCTCCGTCCATTGCCGCTCCGTCCTCCTCGGGCCTCCGCCGCCCGATCCCGTCTCCGACGGAGTCTCCTCCGCCGACGTCCGGCGAGGCGATGGCCACCCCTACCTGCTCCTCTCGCGGTCCTCCTCCTCCGCCTCCGCCTCCGCCGACGACGGCTCCTCGTCGTCGTGCGACCAGACGTACGGGTTCATGCCCTGCACGGCCTCCTGGCCCGGCAACCTGTTCCTGATCCTCGTGTACGGGTACCTCATGTTCATGGCGGCCACGTACCTGTCGAGCGGCAGCGAGCTGTTGCTGGAGATCCTGGGGCCCGGCATCGTCGGCGGCCTCTTCCTCCCCATGCTCGGCGCGCTTCCCGACGCCATGCTCATTCTCGGTCCGTATTTTTCTCTCTCCTGATCGAAATTTGATCTTTTTGCGTACCCTCATTCCCACATTTCTCTCGGAAATTTGATTTTTCCTTCGTTAGCCTAATTCCGGGGGAATGATTGAAGGACGTCTACGGCAGAACGCGACGGAAAATTCCGCGTATGTTAGCTGTAATTCCTTTCGACGACTCTTGACGGAGACCATATCGACTGAGCTCGGCTAGTTATAGTTCAGGTGACAGTAGAATCTGTGCGCGTCTCGCATGCTTTCTCCAGATAATTACTGTCTGCGGCGGGATCCAACGAGCGCGGCTGGTGTTATTTTCGCTTTGAATCCAACAGTCGCGGGTTTTGGTTTCGAGTGGAGTTCCAGTTTTCCTTTCTCTGTTCGGATCACGAGAAAGCGTGACGATGTGGGAAGGCATTTCTTTATTCTCCATCGGTCGAATGGGAAAAGTCGTCGTTTGCCAAATATAATGTGCTTCGTTTCGCCTGCTCCATTCAATTCCGCCATTATCGTCAACTTAACGAGCATGGCCAAGCAGACAAGAGGGCAGAATATTATTGGAGCTAGATGATTTCTTAAATACAATGCTGCTTGTTTGATCGATAAGCATGTTATACGCAAAACTCTTTTTTCTTCTGTCGCTGCCCAATTGCTATTTAAGAAATTTCTCGTATAATGTTAAAGAAATTGTTATTCTTCCGTGACATTAAAAAATCCGTGTTCCCGCTTTTGGGTGCGCACGAGGTATCTCGTTTCGCGCTTTTATAACAAGTTGTTGTCCACATTAAACTCTTTTTGACTTTTTTCTGAATCTACTACAGAACTCATGGTCCAAGAGACGGGGTCCTCCTTTTCTTGCAGTTTTGATGATGGACCCGCATCGCTCTTTTTAACTTCTCCTATCCTTTTTGTCTCTTTATTTGTTTTCTAATGGAGATTTGTGGTCATCCTCAATGGCGTAAAAAGACCACCCATTTGCCATCTCCGGAAGTGACTGTTGGTTGCTTATTTTATCAGCTGGATCAGCCACTTGCCATCTCGGGAAGCGACTATTGGTTGCTTATTCAATCAGCTGGAGATCTAAAGTGTGGAAAAGAAATGGTTAAGGATAATGATATTAATGTCTTGGGGGCGTGGGTTTATTGGAAATTGGACTGACACTGAACAAATTAAGACCAAACTCTAGAATAAAATGAATGCAAGAGGAAAGTGTATGTATGCTTGGTCAATGAGGAATATAAAGATCACAATAGCACTTGCCTTCATTAACTTCGGACAGTTTTCTTGACTTTGCAACTGTCTCGGCTGTTTTCTGGTCTGCATGAAGAGATTTACTGAGGTCGTTCCGCGTGAAAACGAATTTTCTGGTCATTTCACATTGTTCGAAGTTATTTCTGTTTGTAAGTCATGTATTTCTATCCATTTATGCTTCTTCAACAGTTTCTTAGCAGATTCGATCATCTCAAGGATCTGTGAACATATAACATACAAAACATGTCGCTTGAGTTTGCAATTGTTTTTTCTTAGGAGTGCGATTTATACGTCATATTTTGTTAGGATCCCCTTCCACCTTTGATGCTTAATGTGTCTCAGTGGGCTTGTTCGTTTGGCCGTATCTATCTCCAACGACTGGAATTTGTTGTGATAATTCACAGCGAATATAGTTTTTGCTAAATAGTTCCTCCACTTTGTTCTACAGTGTCTGGACTTTCTGGAAGCTCAGAGACTGCTCAAAGTCAAGTTTCTGTCGGAATGGGCTTATTAGCTGGATCAACCGTCATGCTTCTTACAGTTATATGGGGATCTTGCATTATTGTTGGGAAGTGTGATCTTCATAACTCATTTGCATTGGACAAACAAGACACAAAAGGATTTAGCTTGAAAGGTATGTCTTTGTTGGACCTGTTGTCCCGTTTTGGTCATTCAGTCTTGGTTATTTCTTGTTGATCATTCATGATCAAGGACAATTGGCAAAATCTGGGCTGATTTAATTTGACAATTTAAAGATCCTCTAGAGCTTATTTTTCCTTAATCGAGCCACCATGGACAAGGGAAAATCTTTTGCAGCTAGTTCTTCAGGAGAGAAGTGAGATTACGGGTGTGATAGATGTTTAGACGTGCAGACCTGAATAATTGTTTTTGTTGTGCAAGTAACCCTTTCTCTTATCCGTCTCTCATAAGAAAATTGACATCATTTCTAGAATAGTTATTGAACTGAAAAACAATTGTTTTCTCGTGATTTTTTTTTTATGATCAAGTTTACTTGTGGTTGATATATTGCCTATTTAGGCATACTCTGCAGTGTCAAGCAGTCATCACACCTTGATGAATGACTTCATTTACGTTGTCTGTCTTTGCTCTCGCAGGTTCTGGTGTCAGTACAGATTTGTGGACAAGTTATGCAGCAAGGATTATGGTCTTTTCGGTCATACCCTTCGTTATTGTTCAATTGCCTCAAATTCTCAACTCGACTTCGGGGAAACACTTGGCCGTCTTAATTTCACTGATTGTCTCTCTGGCACTATTGATTGCATATTGTATTTATCAGGTAGCCACCAATTGCTTCTAAATAATGCCCGTAAATATGCAGGAAAGTGTTGAGGGACACATCGTGTGAGTGTGAACCAAAAAAAAAAATCTGGCTGTGTCGTTTGTCGTGCTACTCCAGTGAGATGAGCTAAAGCCAATTTATATATCAAGATTTGAAATTCTGGTCTCTCTTCTCCTTTGGTCTGCTTAAAGTTTTAACTTTAATGCAGGTTGTCCAGCCTTGGATACAGAAGCGGCGACTTGCTTATGTGGAGGACAAGCATGTCTTTTTTGGTTTCTTAAGACACATACGGACGCGTGCCCTGGGGAGGCTTCTTACGGATGATGGCGAACTCGATAAGGATGTCGTGGAGAAGTTAGTTTCCACTGGATGTACAAAGTATTTCCTTTTAGAAAATCTCAGATTCAGCTAAACCAGCAGGCTGACTGGATTTTTTGGTGACAGGCTTTTTAGGACTTTGGATGAAAATGGCGATGGATATCTAAGTGCTGCAGAACTGAAAGCACTAATAGTTGGAATCCGATTTGAAGAGATAGATTTGAATGAGGACGATGCTGTAGATAAAGTCATGAAAGACTTTGACTCCTCAAATGATTTCCGTCTGGAATTGCCCGAGTTTGTGGATGGTATTTCTAGATGGCTTAGCACGGCTAGGAGTTCAGGCGCTGCTTCTGGAATGAAAAACTTTGGTACAATGAAGTTTCTAGACGACTTGCACCATGTAAGTTGATCTATAATGTTTCTCTGGCAGTTTTAAGAATAGCGGTTTAGAGCATGTTGTTGAATCTCATGCCCTTCTGCAACTTTTTCCTGCAGCAAACAAGACAAGAGCATGCTCAATTGAAAGGCGGGGATCAAACTGATGAGGTCACTGAAGGTGTTGAGAATCCTAAATTGATCACCTTAAAAGCAGTATTGCTACTGGTCCTTGGAACAATTGTTGCAGGGGCATTCGCTGACCCTCTTGTAGATGTAGTTGACAATTTCTCAGACGCCACCGGTATTCCAACTTTCTTCATCTCCTTTATTGCTCTGCCCTTGGCTACCAACTCCAGTGAAGCTGTTTCAGCAATTATATTTGCAAGTAGGAAAAAGCAAAGAACAGCCTCGCTTACTTTCTCTGAGGTAGGTTTTGCTCCTCTTTTCTCTACAATGGATTGGTCACATGGAGCATGATAAATTGGCCAGTAGGTGTTCTTTCAGACTCTGAAATAAGCCATCGAGCTGTGGAGACATGCCACCGCAGTCATTATTTACTCATTTTAGTGTGCCTTTATATTTGTATGTTGAAGGTTGCCTGATCTCAGTTTTCTCATGCAGCTATATGGGGCAGTAACCATGAACAATCTCCTTTGCCTATCAGTTTTCTTGGCTATTGTTTACATCAGAGGATTGACGTGGGATTTCTCGTCTGAAGTGCTAGTTATTCTCATCGTTTGCTTCGTGATGGGAATCTTTGCCAGCTTCCGCACCACCTTCCCCCTGTGGACATCCTCACTTGCCTTTCTTCTTTATCCTTTCTCCCTGGCACTGGTTTATGTCTTGGATTATATTTTCGGCTGGTCATAGACTTGGAACTGTCTCTCGGGCAACAGAGCTTTCCCTTTCCATTTCTTTTCTTAACAGCTCGTTCAGCTATAATTTTCGTCATGTAATTGATATTAGCTGGAGTTGAGGTTGCCGCTTGATTAGAGAATTAGCGACCGGTGACTGTAGATCTGTGCGTGTTTTACTGCTGAACATGTTTAATTGTACTTTCAGCTCTTGGCAGGATAAATGACAAGCCTAACAGTTCAGCCTGTGGTATGCAAAACATTATCGTACAGACTCAATTTATGGATAACGTTAAGCACAAAACCAAAAAGTGGGAGAGTTGAATCCTGTTCCATCGTGTCCATTTCCTACGATGTTGTTATATTTCCTGGACATGTAATTGACTTAGCTTAGTAGCATAAGTTGAGACCTGTAATTTCAGACCTGCTTCCCTGTTTTGTTGCACCACTTGCTCAACCCGAAAACCTGCGAAAGCCTTACTTCTGATGGAATGCTTACCGAAGTTGGAAAGAGGTTGTGATCAATCAGTTTTGACGAGGAATTAAGAGTCATCCCCTAATATTCGCTTCTGCATCAAATTACCTCTTCGTTTTAAACTACCTTTTCCACACCAAGCCGCAAAACTTGGGCATTTGAAGCCCCTGTACAGCTACTCTTCACATTAGACACCAATAGACTCTTCCAAGCTATAACTCCTGTCATGATACATGAATTTCTTTGTCCGGACATTCTAGGAACATATCCACTGAATTTCTCCTGCTGTACGAGGAGAGCACGGAGTTGACCGATTCTAGACTCATCACAATGAACCTACAAATTTGATTTTCAACAATTGCCCGACTTGTCCACTGAACTGAAAATCTGAGAGAAAATTCTCACTCCAGAAGGGCTTAATTAGCAAGAACTTCTGCTTCCACAATGATAAAGAAAGACCACCTTCACAGCTTATCGAAAGAGAAGAACAGGCACACATGAGAGAACAACCGAACAACAACCAATCCACAGCTCGGGATATTTCAGATGAGCAAAGATTGTGGTTTTCACAAAGGAAATAAAGATGGATGAAGTCATTCCATACTGTAACCACAACAATCAATGTAATCGTCTTTTAAAGCTACAAAAGAATCAAGATTAAAAGCCGTCGGCATGTCAGAGTCTAGACAAGGGTTGCCAGGTAATCATGCCCTCGTCAGTTCTCTATAATTTCAAATTGAGATCGATACTTGCCCCAGGATCGCTGTTGCAATTGTTAATGTGCGTACTTGCTTGGTTATTTGGTACCATTGCTGGAGAGAGAAAGTTGTAGCAAGGATTTTCCTGATACCTCCAGTTTGATGCCTGGCGGAAATGTAAACCCTCTTGAAATCCCTACATTAAACAAGACCAAAACGTTGAGAGCTGGATCGCCGAAAGATTACTCTATTTGATAAAAAAACTGCTGAAATGGAAACAAAGACACCTGTTCCGAACTTACTTTATGGGCTCGTGATTCAAAATCAGGAACATTCTGATCATTCAATGTTAGCAAAGCCGGAGGCTGCTTTGAGTTTGGAGGAGTTGATGTCGCCGGAGGGCCAAGAGTGAGGAACTCTCCACCCAAAGTTCCACTGCTTTTTACGCTTTTCGACGGCTCCAATACCAGGGGAGGGCATGAAGGACCTTCGCTGAAACAGTTGAAAAACGAAAACAGTCAGCAAGATTGCAATGTAGTGCTTGCCTTCAGAGTCAAAAGAGGATGCTTCGTCCTGAATTTAAGCTAACCTGAAATTGCCATTGCCACATGAGTATGGTTCGTCAGGTGTGCTATTTGGATGGCCAAGTACAGGGAGTTTGAACGGGTAGTAGGGGGCTGGTGGATATTCTAGAGAGAAGGGATATGACCTTTTCACGCCGATCATCTGTATTTCCTCTCAACGAAATGGATCCACAAAACGAAGTCAGTATTCCACCAATTAAGCCCCAATAACAACACTAATGACAAAGTATAACACCACGCCATGCCAGAAGATCAATGGATATTACATTGAGCGACAAACTTTTACAGCTGTTCATGCAAGCCAATGGCAAAACTTGTTGCAGAGCCGGCCAATAAGAACACTAAAATAGGAAAATCAAAATCTATCGAATCGGACGACCAAAATAATATGAAATGTACCTTCTCTTCCAGAGGCAAAGCTGGGAAATAATTGCCATGATGACTTTGGTTTGAAGGGGGCTCCATCTGATAATTGAGGGAAGGTGCTGAAGAAGTAACTGGTGATGCATTCACCTGCAGAAACATCCTGGACGTTATCGATAACTTCTACGCATGACACTTAGCGAAATATGAATGCATCGCATGACACTATCTTACCAGTAAAGGAGGGTGATCATATTGCACTTTTCGCACTGGTCCGAGGGAAGGCCAACCGGAATCAATAGGTAAACTCGGTCTTGAGCACACTTGCGATCCAGGATCCACCAAAGAGGTCTTGATTTCACCCCCATACTCAGGGAAATTCCACATATAAGGGAAGTGCTCGGGACCGGATGGCCTATCAATCTCGAGGCCACAACCTCTTACCCGGTTCACCAATGGAAAGGCGCCTGCGCTTGGGACCTCGAAATTCTGAACTGGGTGCGGGGGAACCGGTCTGATTATAGAGTTCGGCAGGGCAAAATCGCCTTGGATGTGATAATTACCGAGCGGAGCTGGCAAGTAACACGAACCGCTCTGAGAAATCGTTGCTGGGGACGGGAAAATCGCGGCGGCATCTCTCCTCTGCTGCTCCTCAATCCTGATTTTCTCCAACTGTGCCACACCAAGGCCTCTCTGTGGGGCCTTCTTTTGCTTCTGCTTCTTGGAGGATCTAATGCTGTTTTTGCTCCCAATGGTGATATTACCCCCACTACTACTGTTACTACACTTTTGGTTCTGGTCTTCTTGTGCCATTGGGTTAATCTTCCATGCGATTCCAAGGGTTAAACTTTGGAGCTATTTTGGGACAAAAACCTTCTGTTATAATGGAGATTTTTTCTGGATGACAATCTGATCTCCTTGTGATCACAATCTCATGGCCATCAGAAAACACCACAATCCCACTTCACCAGTGTGCAGATATAACAGAATTCGAGAAATATATCCCACAATTATAGCTACCCAATGAGCCGATCACTAATTCGTAAGGACAAAGAACAGAGAGATCTATCAGAACCCAAACTATCTAGTGTCCCCAGGAACTAGGACCTCGAAGAGAATTTATGTCGAAGGTTTCAATAGGGAATTCAGGGGCAAATTACACTATGACTGGTGAAAATGATCCGCTTCTGCAAGATATGAATGCAATGAAGAAGTAAAAGAAGGGCAAGAAAGAGAAGAAAATCCAGTAAATTCGAAGAGAGGGAAAGTGGGGGAGACTGGAGAGAAAACAGATGTTGGGAATTTTGCTCTTACCTAGCACTGTTTGTCCGAGAGATACATCAGACAAATTTTGTATCCACAGAGCCGAGAGAGAAATTCTGTCACTCCCTTCAAAAATTCAAAAAAGAAGCTTTGCAAATCTAAAGAGAACCTAGTGAAAATATTTCCCCCTCTCCATTTTCGCCCAAATCCTCGCTCCACTCCTCATTTTGTTCCTAGACCGACTCTCATGAATCTCTCTTTCTCTCTCTAGCATTCAATTCAACCACCTCGGATTTTCTCTCTCTCTCTCTCTCTCTAGATTAATGAATTTTGCATTGCACTGAATGGGTTGGGTTCTTAATGAAGCCAAGTTGCCAGTTTTGTCCCTCCATTTCTGGGTTTTCTTTTTGGCTGTTTTCCTTTTGCAGCTTTTCCATGAAATCCACCACCCAAAAGGCAAAGGGCACGCATTTATGATTCGAGGATCCATATATCTCTGGCCACCACATATCAAGAACAATCCCAAGACTCCCTTGTTTTTCCGATTTTTAGAGTGAAATTATCCATTCTAAAATGTGGGTATGCAAAGATTTCACTTTTTCTCTGCAAATCCAAATCATCTCCAAATCAAAGATTCATTTCCCAAAGCGAGAATTCGAAACTGAAACAGAAAAAAAAAAAGTTTGCTTTTTTAAGAGGCCGGGGTCAACGCTGTTTGGTTACTTTTAATACGAGCTTAAAAGCAAGAGTTGAGAAAGATCTTCGTGCGAGATTCTTCCTCGTGAATCCCATTTGGTGCTGCTACAAAGTGCCACGCTTGCAACATGCAATAACCCCTTATCTTATAGCAAGACACGAACAGGTTTAGAGACGGAACGAGACAGATGCCAGCGAATATTAGATTTGGATTCCCCTCAATACATGCACTTTATGGAATAAGCTCCTTAGGATCATTACAGAATGGTACAATTAAAAGGGTGATTGAGACATAGATCATCACAAAATTTTTGTGGCCAGAGAATAGATTGTACTATCATAGACAATATCTTTTTTTCACTGAATTAAAAACACGAATTCGTTCTTTCTTTTTCGGCGTAGAATGAATGATAAATTCAAACTCCCAAAGGATATTTTTAAGCAGTGGATTCGGGAGGAGAGACTTGAGGGTCACGTTACGGATCGGCCTCTATCGAGCAACTTCATTAGCTAGCTCCACCATAATTTCATGGAGATGGGCCTTAATCATCTTTCCTATTAAGTTATTCGGAAGGGAGATTATGATTTTCTATAATCCAAAGTCACCGAAAACCAAGCATACATCATGTCTTGTTAGCTCTCATGTCGTATTCAGTACAAAGATTTCCTAAGATTCGGAAAAGAATACGGTGACCCCATCAGGCATCTACCGTGAGATTCTCTCTGATCTAATATGCTCCGAGTTTTATTGCCATCATCATCTTGTCCTTTCCTCTTTCCTCAATCATTAATTCCTGGAATATTAGGAGAAATCTATTACAACAACATGTGATGTTGGCCTGAACAAGATCAGAAAGAAATCCATAGCGCAGTTTCATCGGGATTGCTTCTGTGCACAAGGAGAAGCAGATCTCCATACTCATGGATTCGGTTCTATCTCGACACCAGTCGATGCCTACGCTCAAAAAAAAAGTACATAGACTATTCTTCAGTGATTTGCTACATTATGGTTTGTAATGGATCAAACTAAGTGCCCAAATGGGAAGTTTAGCTCCAGCATTGTCCAGCTCATCAGAGCAAGATTTGGCAAGTGAAAGCAACTTCAGATACTCTTGTTTTGGGTTTTGTCTTTTTTTCTTTTTATGGAGATTGAGGATACTTGCAGATTCTGCCCTAACAGATAATCTGTAAATGAAAAGACAACACGAGACGTGCTATGCAATGCTTCAAGAAAAGCTTTGCATGAAGTCATTGATACTTATTGAGAGCAACAGATGAACAACCCCACAAGCGCATGCAGAGATTAAATGTTTAATTACACTATAATTCGCAAGAAATCCTAACGAAAGCCAGGTCCCGTAGCTCAGTCGGTTAGAGCGTTGGTCTTATGAGCCGAAGGTCGCGAGTTCGAGCCTCGCCGGGACCATTGCAGCTTGTAATCTCCGTAGTTTGTGTTATTTATATTTTACTTATGAAAACATGTGAAATTTCACCTATAACATAGTCGACATTGCTGATAAGCCGTGCAAGCTTATCTCTTTCGTCTTTTATGTATTTTTATTGGAGTGAAACATTTATCAATTTATTGTTGCCTGTTGGTGTTGATTGTCCATCTTGGGGAAGATCAAACACTGTCTTCACTATAGATGAGACGTCAACTATGCTTAGCTAGTTCCATGTGGCGACTCTCACGTTGCATCTCCCCTCATTCTCTACAATAAAAATGGCATTTTGCTTCTCTTGTTTTCATGTTCACATTACCGGTGCAAGCAGAAGGTGCCAGAGCTTCTGCATTCTCAACCTCTAATGGCTCCTTAATTTATGCAATGTTTAGTTTAGTTTAGTTTAGTATCGAGCCGCTTTGTTTTGTGATTTTAGCGTATATGGAAGATTGTTTAAACGCTGTTTTTGTGGCATTCTACAAGTGAAAATAGAATAGGTTGACTGTTGAAGGATGAAGCAGTACATTTGCTGAAATCTCGTTCACTGAAAAGTTGATATTGTTTCGGATTTTCTACTTCATCGGAGCCCCTCTTCCCAGGATTGAATAATTTCTTCTCTTTCTTCGTTTTTTACAGTGATGGGTCCTGGATATTGCTTTAGGACAATAGTTAGCCTCAAGAAAGCGAAGGAAGGAACTTCCAAACAAGCGAAGGTACACAGTCGATGCCAGTAATGTTTATGAATTCCAATGTATGCATTTTGTTTTTTGAAGTTTTCTCTTCGGATTTTCAATAGTAGACAGCCTTGTATAGTTCCAATTGATCAGGACACCGATAACAAAGACTAGATGAAACTGCCGTGCCCATTATTGGCCTCAACTAATGGAGTTTTGATTATAATTCACCACTCTCAGATCACACAGTGAGCAGACTGATGATAGATTTGAAATTAGTTTGATGGTATTTTCTTTTGCAAATCAACCTAGTGATTTGATCGAAGGGAAGGCTCGAAAGACAGCAAATGGAACGATCAAAGATACAAAGCTAAGTTATGGGTGTCGAAATTTTCCTTAAACGAGCTTTTATTTTGATACGACTCAAATTCTATATGACATCTACTGACTATATTATGGTAAAAAACGTTTTCAATTCCATCTTCGAATCGGCTGTGAACAATTGCATTATGTGACTCTTAGAAAGCTAGTCCGCACTCGATTCCACTGCCACTGCTAAAATCCTAAGTGAAACCTTTCCCTGCTTTCTGTCCTAGACAATGTCCATGCCATGCCTTTTCTCTTATCTGCTTGGACGCATCTTCTAAATAGGAGGAATTTTGCGCTGCAAATTTAAATGGGTCCAAGCAGGATTCACAAAGAAAGTCGGGTATTCCTGGAAAACGGATCGAAGATACTGCAGCAACTAGGATTCAAGCTGCATTTCGTGCATTTCTGGTATGGTAAGACTAAGCTCTTTCATTTTCCATAGCTAGACAATGTATAAGGCGACCCAATTTGTATTTCGTTTTCCACTTCTCCTAGGCAAGAAGGACACTGTATCGTCTGAGATGTGCGGTGAGGTTCCAAAGCTTGACTCATGGTCTACCCGCGACACAGCAAGTGTCGACCGCACTTAGCTATTTGCATTCGTGGAGCAGGATCCAAACCCAGATTAGAGCTCGACGAATTAACATGGTCGCTGAGGCACGCATGAGGCAAAAGAGACTAGAAAATCAGTTGAAGTTTGAAGCCAAGCTCCAGAAGCTAGAGGTACAGCCTCTCCCCTTAGCTTCTAGAGCCAACATTTCTATTTTAGCTCCAATTATATAAATGCTTAAATTATGATCGCCAATCGATTTGGTGGCATCTATATTTAGGCGGCTAAATGGAACATGGAACACTTTACTCTATGCTTGATGATAGACCGAGTGCAAGCTAATCCGTAGCCAGCATGTCAGCTTTCATCTCAGTTTACCCAAATTCTCAAGATAGTCCGATCCAGTTTAAATGCACGCAGTACTAACAGATGCATCGTCATGGTCTTTAAGTTTCTCAACATTCTTGTGTTGCATAAAACTCAATTCTCATTCAGATTCTAGATGTTCTTTTCCTCGTTATAAAGAAAAGACACCTCTTTCAGTCCCTTCTGAATGCTCTATGCAGACCCGATTCAAGTGCTCCTCAGCCCTTTCCTGAAATCATCCTACATTTGATAGATATGTCCGAGGCAAAAAAGAACAGGGAAATCCTTGTGAAACCTGCTTGTTTGCATGGTCGAGAGCCCGTGATATGATAGTTTTCACATCATAAGTTGATCTTTGAGTCCCCATATAAGTACTCTTATAGACCCGGGCAAACGGCGTAGTGTTCTGGAGTCGATGCCAAGAGCTACTGGCCTAAGGTTCAAAGAACCACAACAGTAACTCTCCTAATTTGGAAAAAGTGTGTAAATATCGTCATTATATCACCTCAGTAGATGTCGGACTGGTCCAAATGACATTAATGAATGACATATCTAAAAGCACGGAAACCTGTGTTGTTGTATAAATGCTAGTTTTTCCTCTCCCCACAGCTCGAATGGTGTGGAGGCCCTGGAACCAAGGAGGATATCCTTGCAAAGATACAGGAAAGAGAAGCAGCGGCAGCCAAGCGCGAGAGAGCCCTGGCATACGCCTTCTCTCATCAGGTCTGCAGCTACTGAGGTTATGATCCCTTGTTCTACCCACACGATCGATCTGAAAATTCTAAAACTGATTGCAGTGGAAGGCTAACTCCAGCCACTACCTCAGTCAACCTTCTTATTGTCTTGACAAAGAATGTTGGGGTTGGAGCTGGTTGGAACATTGGATTGCTACCCGGCCCTGGGAGATCCGACCTCAGTCAAATTCAACTGGAACGATGGTGAAGCAGCTCAGCAAAACAGCAAAGCCATGTAATACCCAAAGGTCAAAACAGCTTCAATTGTACTATTGAAACCCAGGAACTCAGAGGTAATCACCGATCTCGTGCGATTCCAGCTTGGCAATGTGACATAAGCTTATGAGATTCTTGAGTAATTTATTTCAGGATTGAGATGAGGATTGCGTGAGTAGCAGTAGCAGTCTCTAAGAGTATGGGACATAAGTCATACTCGGGAATGGTGTAATCTTTCTTTACTGGACAACTGATAATTTATGAACTAAATTATGATTCGTCGCTGGTTGTCTTTAATAAATCTGGCGGATGTAACTGCCGAGCTCTGTGATTTGGATTGTTCAATAATGTGTGTTATAATATGTATCTGTTTCATCGTATTAGACTCCAGCCCAGAAAGAAACACCAGTGTGGCCCTCATTATTTGTATTTGCTTTAGACTTAATAAAAGAATATCAAACAAGGTAGAGTCCAACTCATGTATCCATCAAGATAGATTATTTCCCGATAATTAATCATATGAAGCTCAAGTGGCCACTGCCATCAGACATCAGCTAATTCACCAAGTTCATCTTCACGATCGTTCATCTTTTATTGGTTATCTAATCATCGGACACTTTGTGCACTAGTGCACCAAGTTCCCACGGTGGAGAGCTTCTTTTCACGGCATTTCATAGAGGTTATACAAATGTTATGAACATTAGATGCCCTCTCGGACAAGGCTTAGTTCCAAGTTTGGTAGAACTACCAAGCATGAAAGAACCACTGCAATTTCTCAGCGTCCACACAAAAACGCCCAGGTGCTTTTAATGTCTATGCAAAGCAAGGATTTGTTTCCAGCTAGACTCGAGATTTTTTCCACCAAGCACTAAAGTTTCCAGAGGATAGGGGGACCATTGCCAGATGGGGAAGTACCTCATTTTGGTAATATCCATCTGTCAATTCTTGTTCTTCCATAACTGTGTTAGCTCAACTTATGTACTTATCCGCGGCGTGCTATGCGGTAACTAGCAATTCTTCTCGTAGGACCCAAGAATGAGGCCAGAGAACAGGTGATGCTCAAATTTAGGTGACCCAGGTTGTGAATGGACGATGGTCCTGTTTTGACAAGAATGCATTTGCATTGAGACCAGGATGCAATTCATAGTCAGTTCGACGAAACCCCCTGTTGGCTTCTATTTCTGAAACCTGACTGCAGTCCTACCCAAGTTCTTTTGGACCAGTTGTGAGGAAATAAACAAAGTGACGCTATCTACAGCAAAATGGGGGAGTTTTTTTTTTTTTTCCTTCCATTACCATTGAAGGAGGCTTTAAAGGTCCAATTCGAACCAATCCCAACCTGCTACTCTGTCTGAGTGTTCAAAGAAAATGACATAAGGTCCCCAGGTGTGAGCGAGTGATGACAAACAGAACTATTACTCTTTTAATTCTTATATGCCTCTCACCAAGGGGTTGCTAAGTGGGCTAATTGTTCCACCAAAAAGAAGCAAGAAATGCTCAGAGAGAGCAAAGACTCTCTTTTAATCTACAGTTCAAATTGACCATTTCTAAACGCCAAAAAGAGACCCCCTCACATCACTCGTGAATGAGAAAGCAACTACAGTCTCTAAAGTTGAATATCCAACCACTCAACCCAAAACAAATGCTAAATTCGCTGTGATTGCCTAGTCAAAGAATCTTCAAAAGAATGTCAAATTCAGTATCATGTTGTGTTTTGGGAGAGGAGGCTGCCTATAGTGAAGGGATCTATGATAAAAAAAAAAAAATACTGTCGGATTCAGGATCCTGGTCTCTTCTTTCAGGGGGCAAAACGGGGGATGTCAGGTTTCAGCACAACCTCTACACTCGGAAGCAAACAGGGATGACATACATCAACTCTGGGAACAGAAACACGTACTGGTCCAAGTTCAAAATAGAGTCAAAACATCAAACAAAAGTTGAGCTCAAATGTCAAAAGAGCCAACTCAAACATGACAGTGGAAAAAAGTGCTAGAAACAGTACCAACATATAGATACGTAAAACAAACCAGGGATTGAAAACGCCTGAGATGATGAAATCTTTTCAGAATTTCCCTCCCGTGTGGTTTGGTTTCACCATTAAACTCCAAATGTACCCAAATTCTCTCCCAGCTACGAATCTTGCTAAAGTTGCTCGTTCTTGTTCACCTCGATCAAGAAAAGCACGCTTATTTTGCTGACAACGATTTCCTGCGCGTAAATCCACGGGAATTGATGAAAAAAGGATGAAACTTTAACGAATGCAAGACGTCTTTCTTTGTCTAATCCAGCACACCTGCAAATCAGGGAGAGAAAGTTGAGATTTTTTTTAAAATGCTCTTGTTCAATGGTGGGAATCGGAGGAAGCAGAGGACGGCTTGTCGAGAATGCCGTCGTGCTCTCCGTCTTGCCCTTGAATGCGTGCCGGAATGTGATACCCGGAGAACCCGCCGGACGCAAATCCCACGGCGGGTGAAATAGGATGAATGGAATGCTGCATTTGGTGATGATGATCGGACGATGATAGTGTCGGGTCGATCCAAGCACGAATCACGGGCATGTTACTGGACTGAAGGGGTCCCCTCTGTGTGAAAAACTGGCCTTGGCCAAACAACGGCTGCACCGCCGCTGCGGCCGCCTCAGGCTGCGGCGGGGAGAACATGAACCCGCCGCCGCCTCCACCACCGTTGCTTCCGCCGATGCTCCACGGCGCAATCCTCTGGAACCTTCCGATGTCTGAAGCTGGGTTGGTGTTGTGGTGGGTGTGCTCGGAAGGCCACAGAGAAGCGGCGGGCGACGAATCAAACCCTAGCTGCGGAGTTCCGGAGAAGACCACGTGATGGTCATGTGACTGGGGTCGCAGCAAAACAGGGTCTTGGAATGATTGCAGGGAGAGGCGAAGATCTTGGCTCTGGCTACTGGTTCTTGACAACAAATCCGGTGGGTGGGGGTGGTAGCTCTGGAACTGCACGGACGACGGTGGTGGGGGTGCGTCGGCGGAGACGACGCCCATCGGGAAGAACGACTTGATTGTGTCGGCGATGGAGTCCGAGTCCAGAGATGGAGGTAGAAAGCTGGTGGTGTTGGGGTTGCTCTGGTGGTGGCTGTTGATTTGTTGCTGCTGCTGCTGCAAATTTCGGATATCGTCCGCCGCCGCGGCGTCCACAGCTGCCTGGTGGATATCCACCGGGCTCTCCCGCTCATCCGTTGCCTGTGGATGATGGGTCGCGGCAGTGGTGGCGGCGTTGGCGGTGGGCTTCCAGGCGGGGAGCTCGGCGAGCTCGTCAATGGCGGCTTTGGCCTTCCTGATGAGCCAGTCGACGGCCTTGCTAGGGCGGTCGTAACCGAGCCGGTCCTGGACGTCATAGAACTGGATGGCGGTGTGGGCCGACAGCCGCACGCGGCGGTCCCTCGGCCCCTTGGCGGTGCACACCTTGCTGTGCCGGTCCTTCCTCCCGGTGGACCGAACAATGTGGCCTCCTTGGACCTCCACGATCTCTCCTCCACCGCCACCGCCGATGCCGCCGCCGCCTCTCCTCATTCCCAATCTTGAAGAAGTAGCGGCCGCCTGCTGGGGGTGGTGGTTGTCTCCCATTTTTCTTGCATATTCGGCGGTCTGGTGAGCGAAAGCTAGTGAGGCTGAGGAGGGAATACAAGACCTCTTTTTGGGTGGTTGCACTTGTGGCTGTGGAGGCTGTGTGGTCTCTTCCTCTAATCTTCCATAGCAGAAGCTCTGCGGGTGGTCTTGTTGGGCTTGTGTGCTGAGAAGATACAGTTGGCGAGCGTCTAGCTGCTGGTGGTGGTGGTGGTGGTGTTGCTTTGCTGATTGTTGATTCTGTTCTTGTTCTTCTTCCTCTGCTTCTTGTTCTTGTTCTTGTGCTTCTTGCCCTACATGCCTTGAGTTCTGAAGAGGATTGTGCTGAAGATGATGATATAAGTGATGATAGTGTTGATTCCTTTGAGGATCCAGACTCAGGCCCTTGTGCTTTTCCTCTTCTTCTTCCAGCTTTCGATGAGAGGGAGAGAGAGAGGGAGGGAGGGTACTTAAAACTAGTCTTTATTGATCTGCGACGAGCTCTGTGAATTCTGGAAGCTGCTTTTGGTGCTCTCTCTCTCCCAAAAGTGTCTGCAGTCATCCAGGTCTTCCACTTCCATCTCTCACCCTACCCGCCCCAACTCCTCAAAACGGAACCAGAACCAGAGACTTTAGAAAAAGAGGAGCCTCTCTCACTTCTTTCTCAACATCACCCTCTAACCCATCTCTCTCACGCTCAGTTTCTCTTTCCTCTGTTGCTTGGTTCTGTTAGTACACAGCTTTTGATGACTTGGCCGCTTCTATGCGCAATTTGTACTAACCAAGACAAAGTACTTTGGGTCAATACCGCTTGACCAAACCCCAACTGTGAACAATGCAAATATTCAAAAGGGGGAGAGTCTCTTGGAGGGACAAGAGAGCCTGAGAGAGCCTTCAGTAATTGCAGAGTCCAGGCGGAGGATCAGATCATTGCTCTCTCTCTCTCTCTCTCTCTCTCACGGAGAGCCCTTGACGATGCCACTGATGAAGGTGGCAGATTCCATCAGAGGGGGAGATTAATATCTCTTCCGAGAGAGGGTTCTTGGGTTTTCTTTTGACAGCCTACACGCACAAGAGAGGCAGACACCAACCACATAGGACTCCACCCCTATCTTACCTCCCTCTCAATCATCTGATCTGAGTCAGCTCTGACAATTTTCATTTTCAACCCCCCCTCATCTCTTTTTACAAAACACGAATCACCTCTTTCGCAGCTTAATCAAAGATCACGACACTTTCTTGATATTTTTTTACAATCTAGTTAAAAGCGAGGAACCGTTGGTTGTGGATCAATGGACTGTTTGGATGCTTAATGGGTAGATAGATCCCTTTGTATGCCACCACGACGCCTTTTGAAAGTGACCCCCATTCAGCTTTTCTCTCTCCATCTTTATTGCTTCACTTAAAAGAAACATCATCTTCCTTCCCGCAATTGCCCTCTCCAATCCAAGCTTTTTGTGGCTTGTTTTGGTACTGTACATGGCATCTCAAGGGGCCTGTCTTTTTTCCCTTCCACTATTCTTTCCATCTATCTCCATTTCCCATTAGCAAAACACGCCATCGCTGTCCGTGCCTTTGTATGGTTGTGCTGGTGCCCATGCTTTTGAATCCGAGTTGCTTCTCTGCCCCTTTATCTTTGGTAGGTTGCCATTATTTGCTAAACTCATGCTTTTAATAATTTCCGATTATGTCTTCCAACCCGATCAATCTATACATCACTATTCGATAGGTCATCTCTTGTCATTTCATCTCATCAAAGTCCTTTCTTTGTTGCATGAAACATCAAAAGATTGAAAATTGGTAGCTTTAAGTGCCTTGCGCAAATGACAAGAGGAATCCAATAAACAAGTTGAGATGGTGACCAAGACATTTTTCTAATGAAATAGGTAAGG